GGAGGGAGGGAGGGAGGGAGGGATCGAGGGAGGGAGGGAGGGAGGGATAAAGAGAGCCAGAGATCAAGAAGGGAGGGAGGCAAGAAGAGAGGGGTGGGCAGGGAGCGGATCAAAGTAAGATTACAGGACTGGGTTATAGTGGGTGAAGTGAGCGAGGGAAGGGGAAAGGATTCAAAGAATGTCTGGAACGAGACTTACCCGATCTGCAAGGTTCCTTAAGATCACCTTCACCACCTCGCTTCACAACCCCCGGTGACATCGTCCGGTCCTCCGGTGAAAGAGCAGGAGGAGGAGTATCTTGAGTTGGAGGCTAAAGACGACGGAACGCAGGCGGAGAGGACGAGGGCGAGGAGGGTCGAGGAGAGAGGAAGGAGTGAAACGGAAGGATGAACCAGTGGGACGACCCCGAGGCGGCCGTTGTTGCCAACAAAGATCTTTACGAGATCCTCGGGATTCCCAAGGATGCAAGCGACTCGCAGATCAAGCGCGCCTATCACAAGCTTGCAATGTGATGATGGTGGTGGTGGCGGTGGTGGTGGTGATAATGATGATGTTGTTCCTGTTGTGCTTGTGCTTGTGCTTGTGCTTGTGCTTGTGCTTGTGCTTGTGCTTGTGCTTGTGCTTGTGCTTGTGCTTGTGCTTGTGCTTGTGCTTGTGGTTGTTTCGATGCTGATCTCTCTGTCAGGGTTCACCATCCGGACAAGCGAGCGAACAATCCTGAAGGATCGGACGACACCTTCAAGCAGATTGGATATGCTTACAAAGTGATTCACTCCCTCCTTTCTCCCCTTACTCTCCTTTCCTTCCTCCTTTTCACCCTTTCCTCCTTTCCCTCTTCTCTTCCTTCCTCTGCCTCCTCCCTCCCTCTCTCTCGCTCCCTCCTCAACTCTGCCTCCTCCCTCCCTCCCTCTCGCTCCCTCCTCAACTCTGCTCCTCTCAGGTCTTGTCCGACTCGGAGAAGCGAAAGATCTACGACATGGGAGGTGCACAGGCGCTGGAGGAAGAGGAGGGGCTAGCAAACATCAACATGGACCACTTGCTGCTCAACATCCTCATGTGGGAGAGCGGGCAGGTGAGATGTCGACTCCTCTTCGCATGCCGTCTGAAATCAGCGGCAGAAAATCTGCTTCCTCTGCTTCCTGTTTCTCATCGTGATGGAGTGTATCGTCTTGCCGTTGCTCGCGGCGCTGCAGGTGGCCTGATTGGATGGAGAGGGAGAGGCAGAGGCAGAGGCAGAGGCAGAGGCAAGGGGAGGTTGAGGGAGGGGGAGGGGGAGGGGGAGGGGGAGGGGGAGGGGGAGGGGGAGGAGGGAGGGGGA